TAGGAGCAGGAGCAGGAGTAGGAGTCAACACAGCAGCAACCGGCTGCTCCTTGCAGGCCGTGGCCCGTGGCGCGAACGCCCGGGCTTAGCATTCTGCGGTGTCTCGCCTCACATTTTCTGCTCGTTGTCGAGTTCTAAGTTCTCTGAAAGCGTGAGCTTCCAGCCACGGAGCGAATACAGGGTTGTTCGCTGTCAAGCCTTGCAGAGCGCCAGACAGACACTCTGATTTCTGGGCGCTTTAGGCTCCGACAGTGCTCGTAGAAGCGGCCAGCATCAGTGCGTGCAGCTAACAACATGTGCTGTGTTTCTTTAATCAGCAGGGCAGCTACCTCGATCGGGAAAGCGAAAGCCTCGATGGCCGAGGCTTTTACTATCGCACCATCGATTACAACGTCGCCGCCCAATTCAGTTCTTGGTTCATGCATTTCGAATTCGCCTGCACGAGGCTGCACCAGCTTTTGCCCACTCCCAATTCCGCTGAGACCTCGGAGGAGTTCAGCTTTCACTGTTCCTGCGACAACGGTTCCAAGGCTTCTACTTGTTCTGGAGCCGATTCTTCAGTGATTGGAAAATCGCCGGTGCACTGAGCGAGAAAGGCCGGCGCGTTGAGCTGTGCAGATTGTGTGGTGTCTTGGTCGCTCAGTCTTTCACAGACTGACTTGGTCAGTCTTCTACTGCAGGTGCCTGCACTGCCTTTTTCGACGGCCGCACCGCCCTCAAAAATGACCTTGGAACCCTCATACGCATGGAAAATCAGCTGTAGCCCTTTCTGGGCTGCAGGTCGTGATGACCCTCCATGGGGCTGCGTCCCGAACCAAGCATGCACTTTCTGTCACATGCGACGCAGTGTTTGGATACTTTGTTCAGGAGCCTGTAGTTTGGATGACTGAGCAGCCCGCTGCGAGGCTGCAAATAGCGATCCAAAGCCACAGCAGTGGGTGTGCGGCTGAGACGAGGTGCACGCTTAATCGAGTTTTCTGTGGCGACAGCTAACAGAGCACTACATTACTTGACAAACTTGACACTCATTGCATCCAAGGCTGTGTGGGATGCCGATGCTGATTCGTTCGCAAAGCGAGCCGTTCTCGTCAGGCTGGTGGAAAGACTGCGCGTAGAGCAGAAACGAAAACATGGATGCAACTACTGAATAATTACTGCAAGCCAGACTCTTACCGATGATCTGTGCAGGCCAATTCAGAGATGCAGACCGTGACTGCGCTCCTTTGGCCAAAAAGGATCGTCCACGATTCTGGGCTGAGTCAACCTCTGCGGAAGCCGGGGGAGATTGATGACGCCTGGAAGTCCAGCAGTGCAGGGTCAGCTATCGCAATCGCTCTTTTCATCACAGATTCGCTGACATGCAGTGCATAGCTTGACATGCCACTCGAGTTAAAGCCGACTTCTGATTACATAGCTTCAGTGTGACCCTGGATGCATACTTGAGTTGACCTCTGGAAGTGCTGATAGCCATCATACTCATCATTGTCATTGTGGTCGTCATCATCGTGATCGTGGGCATGAACATGATCATGATGCTCATGATCGCGGTGGCGGTGGTGGTGCTGTTATTGGTGTGGGGGTGCTCTAGTGCTGGTGCTGGTGCTGCTTGTTGTTGGTGCTGGTGATCGTGGTGCTTCTGATTGCACCTGCCCTCTTGTGTCGGTATCTCCCGCTGGCTCTCGGTCTCGGTCTCGGTCTCGGT